TATGCAGTGACTAAGTGGTCTCAATACTTACTTGGTCAAAAGATTCATCATCAGGACATATCAGAGAGCTTTAAAGTTTCTGATGGAATAGAAGTTGCATACAAACTCTCAACTAATGTGGCTGACTAAACTAATGCCTTTTGACAATGTTATTGAATACAATAGAGGAGCTGAAAATAACGTGATTGATGCACTTTCAACAGTATCTATGGATGAGGTATTTTCTTTAGTCATTTCTACTACCAACTCTTAGCTAATGCAGGCTATAGCTCATAGTTGGGATACAGACCTGGAACTAAAAGTTCTCATTGAGCAGCTTCAAGCAAATCCAGCTACTCACCCTCGATTCACTTGGTACCATAATTAATTGAGGAGAAAGAAAAAACTAGTAGTGGGTAAGGTCCAACAGCTAAGGAAGGATATTATTGCTTTATGGCATTCCACACCTCAATGTGGCCATTAGGGTATTGAAGCAACACTTAAAAGGGTAACAACACTGTTTTATTGGAAGGATATAAGGAAAGATGTGAAGGTTTTTATACAAGGGTGTGACATCTGCTAGAGAAATAAAGCTGACTTAGCAGCTTATCCGGAACTCTTACAACCTCTACACATACCTGAGATGGTGGGTCTCAAACTAATATGGAATCATAGATGTTCTTCCCAAATCCAATGGTCATGAAGTAATCTTCGTTATTGTGGATAGGCACAGTAAGTATGGCCACTTCATCCCTCTAAAACATCTCTATACTGCTCAGTTTGTAGCTAAGATATTTATGGATGTGGTTCTCAGACTATATGGACCTCCAGACTCAATAGTTAGTGACAGTGATGCAGTTTTTCTGAGTTCTTTTGGCAGGAGTTGTTTTATATCCAAGGAGTAAAATTGAACACCTCTTCAGCTTACCACCCACAAAGTGATGGCCAGACTGAAGTTCTGAATAGTGTTGCTCCCTAACGCACACGCAAGTATACGTGGTCGTACAAGTAATAAAATGATAAGTCGAATGTCGAACCCAGAGAGACTTGTATCAACTACCCACTAAGTTCACCAAGATTTTTATTCAGTCGAGCCAATTCGAGTTCAAAAGTTGATTATACTAAACTATAATTCTAAGTTACAACTAAATTATCAATCAGTAAAATGATTGTTGTGTATTCAGTAGAGGCAAATATTCCAGGGTTGTGATCGATTCACCAGCCCTATTGTGTCCTAGTTAACTCTCCCTTTCATACAATTCACTCATGGTTGCTAATTTATCGAATAATTGCTCTCATAGCCTTCTCCCGAAGACTATTCGCCTATAAAAAATATATTAACGCCTATATTCCTATGAAATCAACCTATTAAGAAAGCATTAAGATTACGATATTTAATTAAGCACGGTGACTAGGTATATTCCTACCCTAATCACAAATCTGTCCCCCTTCAGAGTTAAGATCGTGCTCTCTTCAATTCTTCTATAATCCAAACATGGCTTTCCTAAGCATAGCATAGATAGTAAATAGAACCTAACGGTTGGCAAGACAATTAAGCAATTAATCACAGAATTGAAGAAACAACCATATATTAGTGAATTATAATCAAGGTTAAGTCAATGTTAAACAACAATATTCATGGCTAAATCAAAACTCCAGAACTATGGGTTTTAGCCACTCATGATAGTGTCAAACAAAGTCATAAGTGTTGCATAATTGAAAATACTAAGAACCGATGAAGAAATCTGAGATAGCCTTGCTCCTGAATGCTCCCTTGCTAGGTCAAAAGTATGTCAAAAGTCCCTCAAAATAACGTTTTACATGTATTTATACCATGTAGGGTCGGTTCCAACTGAAACCACCTTCTCCTACACGAAATAGGATTGTTACTCTGTAAAAATTGCACAGGCGCGCCGCATGGGGCAACGCGCCACGCGGGATGATAGTGGACTTTATCAGGAACCTTGCAATTTCGAGGCAGGAGCGAAATAGGCAGTCATGGCGCGCCACGCTCTGCAGTTGTGGGAATTTGGGAAAATATAAAACATGAAAGTCGTAGCCCCTTTAAATATCTTTCCAGCGATATATTGTGGAGCCTAAACGGATTTCTGAGCAAAAAATTATGTGAATTTTACTAGACAATGTACATTATGCCTGCTCGATTCTTTGTTTCGTTCCTAAAGTACACTATCATCCGTTGATCCCCGAACACGATCCCAACTTAATCCTTGGGATTTTACTCAAACTTCAAAGTTACAGAATAGCCTGAATTCATTCCATAACATCTACATAGATCGGAATCACTCCTACAAGGCATAAAACACACATTTAGTGAAAAATACTAGCGATTAAAGCTCAAACTCAATTAAAGTGCAGTAAATAAGAGTGTAATAATCGACTAAAATATATAATTATAGCCTACTATCAACACCCCACACTTAAACCATTGCTCGTCCTCGACCAATCAAACTACACTTTATATAGACACGACCTTTCTAAACAATTCTCCTAACTCATCACGCTAAGACCATTTAAAATAGACTAAGCACAAGAGTGTAACATCTTCACCTCAAAATTTGAATCACAAGTACCACGCATTATTCAAAACTCACTCACTTACTCTAACATAGAGGTCAATGACATTACCTTTCCTTCATGAATCAAGTGCCTTCACACGACAAAAGAGAGTAGTTCCACACATAATAAAATTTAAGAATAATTAGGAACTCAAGATAGAAAGAATTCACTCACTCTTAGAAATAACATTCATATGCCACACAAAATGCACCATAGGCTTTCTCGTAGTGTACTACTCTACTAATCGAGCTCATTCAGTCTAGGATCAAGTAGGACTTTAATTGGTTGTAATGTAGGCTGCGGTACGGGTAGGATACATTTCGATATAAGAGTGATTACTCCTCCCTAAGCACTTTAATACATACACTTTACCTTTTAAAACCCCATACTTATGTCAAACCATATCTCCACCTTCATATTCATATACATTAACTCCATACTACTTTAAGCACAATTACATCAAGAGTCACCACTATCAAGGACTATTTTTCACAACAATACAACTATTATCTCCTTTCTTTTTCAATTCAAGTGGCTCTTACTTTTTCAAAATAGTGCACCTTTCTCCTTATTTCATTAGTTCCACTCAAAAGCCAAACCAACCACCCCACACTTTAACTTTTACAAAGTTCATTATAATTCAAGTGCTCATGATAGGTGAAAAGGTTCAAATAGATAGTTAATTCAAACAAATAGGTAAGGCTTGTAATATGGTTGCCAAAGAAACAGGATTACAGGCTCAAAGGGGTTAACTACAATACATAACAATTAGGCGGGTAAAATATTTAACTGGTTCAACAAAGAAACGCCTCTATCACTTCCAAGACTGAACAAAACTACTATTTCGCTTTGTAAACACACGGGGCAAGTTCTAGACATCAAATGCAATACATAGAATAACAAACAAACCTCACACACACTTGGCACATAACTCACTCAGGATTGGACTCATCAAGACACTCTAGTCAAAGCAGTTAAAAGTTAAGATCATACAATTTAAGGTACTTATATAAGAGTCAAAAACTGAGTCTAAGCGTCACAACCAAAGTACTCACTATTCTCAAGGCTTAACAAAGCTAAGAGATTTGCTTCAATTTAATTCACGGCACAGTGATTCCTACTCCTAAAAAAAATAACTACACCTAGTTCAAAAAAAATCCTTCGAAAGAACCGCGGTACAAAGAAAAAACAAGGGGAAATTATTACACTACCTAACAAAAGAAAATCTTTTTGTCCTTTTTCTTTTGACTTAAATCCCTCAAGAAAACTGTCGAATGAGATCCATCGTAGGGAAAAGTCCAATTTTTCTACTTTTTTTTTAAACAAAAACAACTATACTAAGAACGAGTACTACAACTAAGCTAAGATAGCACAGAAAATCACCCAGTCAATATCCTCATCCCACACTTAAAATTGTGCAATGTCCTTAATGCACACTATAAATAACAAGAGGGTAAAAGAGACTCCCTGGTAGGCCAAAGTCCTAAGAATTCGCAGCTCACGGGATACTCAGACTTCTCCCAGGTATGGTCCTTTTTAAGGGCACCCCACACTTACTTCTCACCATCAAGCTCGCTTTTGTACTCTTCCAATGGCTTTGTTTCCTATGCTTATCGTCCTAAAAAAATCAAAACAAACACTACAACATAATATAATAAAAATAAAAATAAAAGAAAGTAGTAAAGCTGGGTTGCCTCCCAACAAGCGCCCGATTTAACGTCACGGCACGATGCAGGGCCTCGCTCACTCATCAACGAGTGCAACATTGGTCTTCTCACGATCAATTATTCCTCCCTAATAGTGCTTGACTCTTTGTCCATTCACCAAAAATTTCCTTTCACCATTTAAAGCACGCGGTTCAATTGCACCATAAGGAGTGACTCTCACCACCTCAAACGGGCCTGACCATCTCGATTTTAACTTTCCAGGAAACATCTTGAGCCTAGAATTGAACAATAATACCTGTTGGCCTGGCTCGAAGTGATGTGTCTTGATACGCTTGTCATGCCATCTTTTCATTTTCTCCTTGTAAAGCTTAGCATTTTAATAAGAGTGCAGTCTGAACTCATCTAACTCATTCAACTGCAAGAGTCTCTTCTCACCTGCGACATCAAGGTCAATATTCAACTTTTCAATAGCCAGTACGTTTTGTGTTTAATTTCAACAGGCAAGTGACATGCCATCCTATAAACAAGCTTATACGGCCACGCCCCAATTGGCATTTTATATGTAGTTCTATATGCCCACAAGGCATCATCTAACTTTGCAGCCCAATCCTTCCTATTCACACTCACTGTCTTCTCTAAGATTTGCTTTATTTCTTTGTTAGACACCTCAGCTTGTCCACTTATTTGAGGATGATATGCCGTAGTAACTCTACGGCGGACTCTATTTCAGCTAGAAGGTTATTCAACAACCGATTGCAAAAATGTGCCCCTTCATCACTAATCAAGGCATGTGGAGTCCCAAACCTCGAGAAATATGTTCTTTTTCACAAAAGAAGCTACCACCATGGCATCATTTGTTGGCAATGTGATCGCCTCTACCCATTTTAACACGTAGTCAACTGCTAGCAAGATGTATTTGTTTTCTCTGGACAATGGGAATGGTCCCATAAAATCTATCCCCCACGCATAAAAAATCTCGACCTCCAGGATGTTATTCAAATGCCTCTTTGTGATTGTTCCTGTTCTGTGACACTGGTCACACTTTTTAACAAGTGCATGGGCATCCTTGAATAATGTTGGCCAAAAGAAACCGGATTGTAATATCTTTGCAGCTGTTCTATCGCTTCCATGATGGCCCCCATAAGGTAATGCATGACAATCATACAACACTAATTCCACCTCCTTTTTTGGAATGTATCTCCTCATCAACTTATCAGCACACCGCTTGAACAAGTATGGCTCATCCCAGTAGTAGAAGTTCACATCATGTAGAAACCTCTTTTTAGCTTCAGATTCAATTTCAGGAGGAAGTAGCTCACTCACAAGATATTTCACATAGTTTGTGTACCATGGGGGCAGGTCTTGGGTGATACCAAAAAGTTGCACATCAGGAATACCTCTTTAATATCTCCACCCTCCTCCACGTGGTCATGATTTTCCAGCCTTGATAGATGGTCAGCTACTTGGTTCTTTGTGCCCTTTCGATCTCGTATTTTTACATCAAATTCCTGCAACAACAAAACCCAGCGCATCAATCTAGCCTTAGATTCTTTTTTTATACATGGATACCTGATTGCTGCAGGATCAGTATGGACTATAACTTTTGTTCTCACCAAGTATGCCCAAAATTTCTCAAAGGCCCACACAACGGCTAACAACTCCTTTTCAGTGGTGGTTTAGTTCAGCTGTGCATATCAAGAGTCTTACTCACATAGTAGATGGAATAAAACACCTTGTCCTTCCTCTGGCCTAACAGTGCCCCGATAGCATGGTCACTTCCATCACACATAAGTTCAAATGGTAGGGACCAATCTGGTGCCACAATAATGGGAGCAGCCACCAACTTCTTTTTGAGCTCTTCAAATGCCTTCAGGCAGGCGTCATCAAAATTGAAAGTTACATCTTTTTCAAGCAACCTGCACAAAGGAGTAGAAATTTTTGAAAAATCCTTTATAAAGTGCCGATAGAACCCCGCGTGTCCCAAGAAACTCCGAACACCCTTCACAGAAATGGGTGGAGGTAATTTTTCAACTGCCTCCACCTTCGCCTTATCAACTTCAATGCCGCTTCTAGACACTCTGTGACCCAACATGATGCCTTCATGCACCACAAAATGGCACTTTTCTCAATTCAACCCTAGATTTGTTTCTTCACGACGGGATAACACCTTGCTCAAATTCTTCAAACAATCATCATAAGAAGACCCAAAGACTGAAAAATCATCCATAACTACTTCCACAAATTTTCCCACCATATCGGTGAAAATAGCCATCATGCATCTCTGGAAAGTGGCTAGTGCATTAAAAAGACAAAATGGCATACGCTTGAAAGCGAAAGTGACATAAGGACAAGTAAAAGTGGTCTTCTCCTGATCCTCTAGATATATGACAATCTGGTTGTACCCCGAATAACCATCAAGAAAGCAATAATATTCATGCCCCGCCAACCTGTCCAACATTTAGTCAATGAATGGAAGTGGAAAGTGGTCTTTGCGGGTTACTTTGTTGAGCCTTCTATAATCAATGGAAACTCTCCACCCCATCAGAGTGCGAGTAGGAATTAGCTCATTTCTCTCATTCTCTACCATAGTCATCCCCCCTTTTTGGGCACACATTGCATTGGGCTTACCTAGTTGCTGTTAGAAATAGGAAAGATAATACTTGCATCGAGCCACTTAATTACCTCCTTCTTCACAACCTCTTTCATAATGGGATTTAATCTCCTTTACTGCTCAACACTGGGGCAGTGTCCATCTTCCAGAAAGATTTTATGCATGCAAAATGATGGACTAATTCCCTTGATGTCAGTAATTGTCCGCCCGATAGCCTTTTTATGCTCGCGAAGTACTCTGAGCAATTTGTCTTCTGGTGCATAGTCAAGATGGATGAGATAATCACTAGCAATGTCTCAGAGTTCCCCAAATAAGCATAGCGCATGTGCGCTGGAAAGGGGCTTTAGTTCTAGCTTTGGAACTTCTTCAATAGATGGCTTAAGAGGGGTCAGAGTGACAAGCCTGTCCAACTCCTCAAATCTCCCAAACCCATGGACATAACTGCAAGATATGTCAAGTAATTGCTTAATTTCTCCCATCATCTCATCTTCATTATTTTCTTCATCCCCAATCAAAACTCGTTCAAGAGGATCTATGGGCCTCATATAAGGCACCAATGACGTAGCATCACTTTCCACCACATAAATCATGGATAGCTCTTCATAGTTGGCTGGCAATCTGAGTGCTTTATGAACATTGAATACCCACTCTATCGCCTACTTTCATCGTCATCTTTCCTTCGCATACATTAATAACAGCTCAGCCTGTGGCTAAGAATGGACACCCCAAAATAAATGGGACTTCCTGGTCAGGCTCATAGTCCAAGATAATGAAATCAGTAGGGAATATGAAAGAACCCACTTGAACTAACACATCTTCAATCACTCCTTCAGGGTGAGCAAGGGAGCGATCAACCTACTGTAAGATTGCCGTCGTCGGGCGCGGCTCACCCAAACCCAATTGTCTGAAAATAGATAGCGGCATCAAATTGATGCTCGCTCCAAGATCACACAAAGCTCGCCCGACTGCATGCTTACCAATCGAGATTTGGATAGTGAAACTACCTCTATCCTTCAAATTCTGAGGTAGCTTGCTTTGGATTCTTGAGCTACACTCCTCAGTGAGTGCCACAGTCTCGAATTTGGTCAACCTCCTTTTATTTGCTACTATGTCCTTGATGTATTTTGCATATTTGGGCACTTCTTGCAGGATGTCTACCGGTGGAATATTAATCTGCACCTGTTTCAAAATATCAAGAAACTTTTTATACGCGACATTATCCTTCACTTTTTGCAATCTTTGAGGGAATGGGGGTGGTGGACTCGCAACTAATGATGGGGGATTGCTTAGCCACCGCCTCTTCAGTTGGCTTCTCTTACTCCTTTGATTTTTCTAATTCTGACTCTATACTGGCCGGCTTCTCATTAAATGTCACCTATTTTCTCTTTTTTGACTGGACTTCTTCTAACTGTCTCCCATTCCTCAATGACACAGCATTAATAGATGCCTTAGGATTAGCCTTAGTGTCTCTTGGAAGAGCTCCAACTTGTCGAGTATTTTGGGCACTGGCAAGTTGTCCCAATTGTCGCTCCAAATTTCTCATTGTTGCGGCTTGGGCCTACTGATCATCCATTAATTTATTCATCATCTCCTCAAGGTGACTTGTTGAGTTTGCTTATTGTTCAGCCTGAGGTGGCCTAAATTGTTGTTGAGGTGCTTGTGGCCTGTATTGATTTTGAGCACCTTGGTTTCCACCCCAAGAGAAGTTTGGGTGGTTCCTCCAGTTGGGATTGTAAGTTCCCATACACGTTTGTCTGGCCCCTATTTGCATTACCCACAAAATAGACAGACTCTGGATTAGTTGGACATAAGTCGCTCGTATGACCCTCTCCACATAATTCATAAAACAATTGAACCTATTGCACTGGCTGGGCTTGTTGCTTGTTAATAACCAAGGTCATCTGATTGACTTGGTTGGTCAACTTGGAAATCTGCGCTGATAATGCCGAGACGACATCTAACTCAAGAACCCCTGTAGATTTTTGCACTGTGTGGCTGCCCATCTCTCATTGCCAATCAGGATTGCTTTTGGAGAATTTGTTCAATAACGCATATATCTCATCAAAGCTTTTCTCCAACACTTGACCTCCAGCTGCAGCATCTACCACAATCTTTATCTCAGGATGTAGCCCTTCTATGAAAGTGTGAGCTAACACTTCGTTTGTCTGATTGTGATGAGGACAGTCTCTGGGCAACCCCTTGAACCTCTCCCAATCTGAGTATAAAGACTCCCCCGCTTTCTGTTTGAAGGCAACTATTTTACTTCTGATCTTTGCAGTTTTGCCTGAAGGGAAGAACCTTGCCAATATTTCCTTGCCAGATCATTCTATGATATAATAGAATTAGCTGGTTCTGCCTTCAGCCATCGCTTTGCTTCGCCCAACAAAGAAAAGGGGAAAAGTGTGAGCCTCACATAGTCTGGAGTGACTCCGTTAGTTATATAAGTATCACTAATCTCCAAGAAATTCAGGATATGTTGTTGTGGATCCTCGTGTGGAAGACCCATAAACTGCCCATTCGCATGTAGTAGCTGGATCATGCTTTGTTTCAGCTCAAAGTGCCCAATGATTCTGGGCTTCACAATGCTCGAGGCGACATTAGCAATGCTGAGCATCGCCACCTCCTAAACAGCCATATGTTGCTCCTCTGCCATATTCACAGGAAATTGAACAAGTGCCTGAAGATTATTTGTGTCCCTTGCTTCCCTCAACCTCCTATAAAATGTTCTCTCAGGTTCGGGGTCAAAACCTTGATGTCTGTCCTGACTTCTGACCCTGCGCATTCAATCAAAGTTCCTGAGATCAGAGTAATAATCAAGTAATGTTAGACTTGACGAAATAAACAACGAAAGCAAAAACTAGAAAGTAGTCAATATCCTATTCCCTGATAACGACGCCAAAAACTTGTTGTTCCCTAACGCACACGCAAGTATACGTGGTCGTACAAGTAATAAAATGATAAGTCGAGTGTCGAACCCACAGAAACTTATATCAAATACCCACTAAGTTCACCAAGATTGTTATTCAGTCGAGCCAATTCGAGTTCAAGAATTGATTATACTAAACTATAATTCTAAGTTACAACTAAATTATCAAGCAGTAAAATGATTGTTGTGTATTCAGTAGAGACAAATATTTCAGGGTTGTGATCGATTCACCAATCCTATTATGTCCTAGTTAACTCTCCCTTTCATACAATTCACTCATGGTTGCCAATTTATCGAACAATTGCTCTCATAGCCTTCTTCCGAAGCACTACTCGCCTATCCAAAATAGATTAACGCCTATATTCCTTTGAAATCGATCTATTAAGAACGCATCAAGATTACGATATTTGATTAAATGGAAGTCAGTAGAGTCAGTTAGAGTAGGCTACACAATTCAATATAATCCAATTCTATAAATGATCTCATTGTACACATTACAAAGATATTAGAAAAGCTATTACAATTCTCTCTATTTATACTCTCTTCGTCTTCTTCTTTTGATCTCAATTGCTGATAATCTCGAGCTTCTCTGCAAGCGCCTGATTTAGCTGCTCGATCCTCGAACTCTTCACTAAGTTTCGGCAATTGAACTACTACTATTTGGGGATTAACCAGTACTTATTTTGTCCTGAAAATTTAAACTAAAAATCTTAACTTCAGGACACTGTGTCCTGAAACACTTAACTAGAAAATTAAAATTCAAGATACACTGACTAATTTCTAAATAGCAGCCCTCTAAAATAGCTATCTCGTGTCGTTTCTACCTAATTGTGTAGTTAATTTTATTTTTAACCCTGCATCCGATTAATTCATTGATTTCTAGTATTTTTCTTTCAGAAGTACCATTGTTTAATATTCTTTTTCATAATTTAATCAAGAAAATGTGATTACTGTTTTCATTGACTTAACATCTATTAACACCGTTTTGTTATAGTTTTTTTTTTTCATTTTAAAAAAGAAAATCTGGATAGAAGAAGGGAAAATGGGGAGGGAAACCCTTACCAACGAGGTGAAAGTTTAGGTAATCAACCAACTGAGACAACTCAAATTTGATTTTCTTCTAATTTAATTATTACTTGTTAATTTAAAATACTAGTCTTAGGGTACGCGCGATGCGCGTGAATCCTGTCTTAATGAGTATAAATTAAAAAAAAAAAATTGGATAAAATAAAAGTGTAAGTTCCTAAAAATGATCATGAATATTGGTTGTATATAACTAACTCAATAATTAAAGAAACTATCTCAGAAGTCCTCAATCATCAATAATTCAACTTAAGATTTGTTCCAAGTTTGTAATTTCATAATTCCAGTTTCACAGCCAAGAACCTTGGAAATGTAAATAATCTTGAAGGATACAACTTATAACATATAAGTAGAGAACTAATAATTTACGAACTTTAAATAACACAAAATCAAAGTGCAATAATAAAAAAAAAAGACATTAAAAAAAACAAGCTAGCAAGAGAATCTACAATTGAAAGCTAGCTAATAAACCGGCTCATATTTAGCTAAATATATCATGGATTAATAATTAAGAAATCTTGTTAATTTGTGCATTTAAAACTTTTGAAAGTTTAAAGTATAATATTGAATAAAATTATTGGTGCATTAGTCTTGTATATTTATAAAGTGAAACTATCTACGTTATTGTCCAAAAACCTGTACTTCTTCTTTCTCAAATCTTTTTATTCTTCTTTTATCTATTTTTAAAAATTATTTACATCTAATTTACTTGCAAGACCTATACGAAGTGATATTTTAATAATCTTTGTATATTATAACTTTCTACATGGTTCGAATAAGAAAATAAATTGATACGCAAAATTTTAATTAATTTTAAGCTCTTAAATATTAAAATAATAATTAAATAACTATTAAATCAACAAAAGTAAGTTGTAGAATTTTCAACAAAGGTAACCCATGAACACGTTTTCTTATTTAATTAACATGTTACGGTGAAAGCTAAAATTTAAGACTTTCTTTCTTAGTTCAATAAGGAAATATTTAATAACCAAAATTTTAGGTGATTTTAATTTTCTAAATATTAGGAAAGTAACTTAAATTACAATAGTGTCCAACGTGAAATTTATTTTTAGAGGGTAAAAAAGACGAACGATATTTCGCTAAGGGCCTTCGTGCTTTTAATATAGTATAGATTATGAATTGAGACCCTCCAAAAGGTGTTACTTAGTATAAAGGGCAACTGGATGCACAAAACATTCCGCATTAACACTGGATCCGAAGAAGGGTCGCACCCCAAGAGGTGTGATGTAGACAATCTACCCTAATTAGTGACCGCTTCCATGGCTCCAACCCGAAACATAAAGGTATTACTTAGTGTGCGGAAACAAAATGGGATGAGCCGGTCCAAGCTTGATAGTGGATTAGGCTTGATGAGTTCAGCTCGACTTGGTTCAACTCGACGGCAAGGCCTACACTTGAGAGGAGAGCAATTAAGATGCTGCTAATCGTGCTGCACCTATATGACAACGGATTGATCTCTTCTTCCTTTTTTTTTTTTTTTTTTCTTTATAGTTCGGATAATGAATGGCAATATGTAGAGTGATGGTGTATATCAGAAAGTCTTGCTCTACAAATTATTTCTTCAGCGAAAATGTCTGCCTTATTCTCAGAGTAGCAAAATGACTACAATCAAACTTTGTTGCCAGTTTACCCTCGTTTACACGGGCAGCTTCAAATGAAGGCAAAGGAAAAGAATAGCAAGATCATTTTTCCATAGTTTAGCAAATTCAATCAACAGGAACCAAAACTAATGGACAATCATATATTCTTTGACGTATTTGAAAGAAAAAAAGGAACTTATTTATGTTGATCAGAATTAACGTTACCTGCTTAGTTGTAAGCAAGAATAAGAACAAAAATCATTGAAGATATCACCGACTAAACAGCACATACCATTTTGCTGGAGAAAAATAAAAGACTAGTCCAGCTATTTACAAAGACTAATCCAAACCTTCTACAGACCCCCAATCCATATTCTGCAAAAAAGGTTTTCAGCTTGCTAGGGAGAACAAAGTGAAGACAAAAAAGTAAAAAACCAAGCCCTTCAAATTCCTCATTGGAAGATTTATTCGGGCTTCAGGTCCTGTTGGAGCCTTGACCCCTGACTCAAAACATGGAAAATGAGTAGTCCGGCACACTGCTAATTTTGTTTCAATCACATCTTCGCCGCTTTTTAGCTGGTGTATCTGTTTGATTAAGAGTCACCTCTCTTGTATCACAATGGTCCTCATTGATGGGTTTCTTCAAGCTTTTGCAATTATGGAACGAAGTCAGTTCCTCTACTTTCACCTTAGTAACATCACTCCTCACACCAATGTCACTTACATACCTCGTCAAACAATACATACCAGCAGTTGCTAAGACTAAGCCAGCCGGACTTGACATGAATAACTTAAGGGGCGAAGAAGCAATAGCTGCCAAAGGAGCATTTATAACAGAGGCAGCTTGACCGCTCCTTCCAAGAGCTCCTTGGTCAAGAACAAGAAGACCAGTTTTACAGTACAAGGCAAAATCTTCACAGTTATTCTTGAAGACATCATAGTTTCCGAAACCATTTTGAAGCAAGTACATGGCTCTATGGATCACTGCCTCTGGAGGATCAGATTGTGCAGTTGTGCATGTGCCACCTCGGAGTTTAGTAAGAAAAACTGAAGGGCTGGCTCCATAGTCAAAGCGGTACAATAGTCCATCACCCAGGAAACAATCCAAGCAAGATAGAACCACCCCACTTTCCTTGTGCTGAAATCCGCAGTCAAGAATATTTGTACAGGTCGAAGACACATTTGTACTCGAAACTGACGAGAGTTTTGGGGGAACAGAGAAGAGAATTGTGTCTCCTGAAACAATATTTTGCTCACGCGTAAAATGGACAACTTTGCTTCCACCAACATAGATTCCTGCTCATGAATTTCACACATTTGAAAATATGACACCAGCAACCAATACTAGAATATCATTAAGCTCATTTTCAGTCGCAACCGATACTGGAGTATAAATAACTGGCACTGTGACAAGAAATTAAATATAGGAGATGAAGCATGTTGTGCCTAATTAACTAATTAATAGAAAGTGTTATAATGGTAAGGGCAGCTCGGTGCACTAAGCTCCCGCTATGCTCGGGTCCGGGGAAGGGCCGGACCACAAGGGTCTATTGTACACAGTCTTACCCTGCATTTTTGCAAGAGACTGTTTCCACAGCTCGAACCCGTGACCTTCTGGTCACATCAATATCAAAGGTGATCAGTTATCCAAAATTCAGGAGACATGCATGTTAACATGACATATATCCGATATTTCCTGCTACTTTTATTAACAGATAATTCTATTGTTGATATAAATGTACCAAGGAGGTACTAAATATGCATAGAAGAGAGTCCATGAGCTCCAGGATGTTTTCTTTGTTATTAACATAGTTCCTCCTACACCAAGAGTAGAAATGTCTAAGATATCTAAACTTTACATGGGCAATATGTTCCCTTTTCCCCTCGATAACCTACTAATCCTTCTGTCCAAGGTTTCCAGTGTACATACTACATAGAGGTATAGTCCTACTACTAAATTACCATCTTATCAGAATTAACTCATTAGCATTTTGCAAAAGCAGCACCTGAAATGGACATGCTTCTAAAGAGAATTGTGTCATCGCTTGTATCCTTTTCTTATGCTTAATCCACTACGATTTAGCAAAAGCTAAAGCCCACTGAGATCATACAACACCAAACACTCTCTAAGTCACTATCCTTTTGGCCCATCAACCATATTTTCAGCAAATTTGGAGATCCATATGTAATGTAACTGATACTATCCATACACCTAATAGGACAATCATATGTTTGTCTAGATGAAAGTAGTACACTTTCGCAAGTTCCATAAGTGTTGGCTGGGTAGAAAATGAATGTAAATGGATAGTCTAACACATGAAGATTGTCTGGAATCAAGTAACAATTCAAAGGCATTGTAATGTCAGTGCTAGGTAAAAGCTGGAGTAAAAATCAGAGATTAACATACATCATTTTCACAAATCCAAGAAAAAAAATTACCAAATGAAGAAACATCCATCCTGTAATACAAGTTGAGTTTTATATTTATGCACATCCTCCACCCCAAAAAACAAATTTGTGGACCTCTAGATTTGTGAAGGTCTGTAACATCTCAATACTTAATTTTTTCCCTTTTCTTTTAAAATATTACTTAAGATAAAAATGCCAACAGCCAGTCACTTTCTTTTTAAAATTCCCTATACTAATTTGCACTCCACGGACACAAAAAAATAAAATTGCTGGCTACAGACAGGAGACCCATATTATAAGAACTACTATATTATTTATGGAAAAGTTGCAATTTTTTCACCTATACGAGATAACCAAGACGACCCACGAAGTGGAAGGCAACAAAGAGGAATAAAACACCTAAAATAAAAACCGTAGGTTTCAATTCTGTGCAATCAGCCAAATTTATCCAAAATTGACAAAGAAAGCTGGTGCTGTTTGCGCAATCATTTCTCTAATCTAAAGCCCAAATGCTACTGTATACAACGCAAGATTGTTCATATGCGGTAGTAATTTTAGCTATAACTGCAGTTTTTGGCCATTTCCAGTATCATGAAATGAAGAAAAAAGTTACTCCTAACATATTACATTAGGATTTGGAAAATTAGTGAAATAGGGTTACAGACTGACCGTGATGAGAGTATGTGAAGACAGTTCTCCAAGTGTAGATATGATCACCTGCTGCTATCTCACTCCTTTCTACTCTGTGAGACAGCAGACCCATCTATTTCCTTCTCCTTTCAGCTTTTCCCAATCTAGGTTTAAAATGAGAGTGACAGTGAGCACAAGGTTTAAGGATTAACTGATAATTTAAAATCATATTATTTTCAAATATAAAAGAACGGGTTATTTTTAGATGAAAAATGAAACATTTATTTATGCACCATGGTGGAACAAAGGGGTAACATTTAGTTCCCTATATAGTGAGAAATATGATGTTCTTTACATATTTTCTATTTTACTTACAATTATTTAGTAGTACTACTTTTTAATGATTGATCACAGCAACGTAATACTCATACTTATGCTTTGGCAAAGAGTCAAGATGGCTTGGGGGATCAAGTAGGGCTGGGCGTGTATATCGGCTAAAATTGATAGTCCGAACCGGAAAAAGTTTATTGAGTTATCGGTATCGGGTTATTGGATTAACTGTTCGGTAATGATTTGATGTTATTTTACCCTTGGGTTATCAGTTCGGGTCTCGGTTTGTCCAATTATATTAACGGTTTAACCGATAACCCTATAAACTTTATAAAATACAATTTTACCCTAAGGTATATAAAATTTCCAGTTCTCCCGATTCTCTATCTAAGGTTGTAACCTCCCAAATTTGTCATTCAACACATAGAGAAACAATGTTGTAAGGTTTATCATATTTTTTGAGAGGATTACAACATTAGAGAAAGTTTATCATATTCTTTATACGATACACATTATCCTTCATTACGTCTTCCCTCTAGAATCTATATTGAGTTATCTTATCGGGTAAACCAATAACCGAACCGATAATGATCGATTATCGGTTAGTCGATAACCGATATTCGATATCTTATCGGTTCGGTTATCGATTTAGCATATTTATAAACAGATAATCTATATGCCAAACCAATAACATTCACAACCGAACCGAACCGACCAATGCTCATCCCTAGAATCTAGCTGGATTTGCTTGCATTTTAGCTTGAGTTGCTATTTGAATGCGCCACAATATCTATGAAGTGAAGTTAATCGTATTATAAATATACATATATATTGTTGATATGCCTATGATATGAACTCTTGATCACAGTTTTCTTTTGAGATATAGGTTGTAATGCGACGACGCTACGCGGCAGGAGCATTGATTTTCTATATGTGAACCTCACTTATGAGTTCAGTTTGTGATATATGTGTCCAAGGCCGGCTCTACTGCTATGAGTAGTAAGGCTTGTGCCTTTGGGCCCCAAATTTGGGGGCTTTATTTTTTAAAAATAATAAACGAAAAAGGGTTCAAAATGCCCCTAAATTATTGAAAAAGGTTTAAAAATACCCTTCATCCACCTATTGGGCTAAAAATACCCCTCCATCCACCTTTTTGGTTCACTTATGCCCTTTGACCGTTAGGTCAATGTTGAATTTAAAATAATTATTATTCTTTTTGTAAAACTTAAAAAAAAAATTCACAAAATATTTTCGTTTTTTTAAACTAATGCACCAGTAGTCCACTAATTTAGTAAAGTCTTCTTCTTCTTTTTTTTTTCAGTTTTTACAAAAAACAATTCAGTTTTTACAAAAAAATAATTTTTTTTCTATTTTTTCTAGTTTTTTTAAAGTTACATTTTTTTCTTAAAAACTTAGAAATTTTTTTAGTTTAAAAACAAGGAAAAAAATAAGTNAAAATATTTTCAACAAAATGTTTTCATTTTTGAAAAACATTTCTTTTCATTTTTTTTGAAAAATTGAAAATATTTTTTCTTTTAAAAAAAACTGAAAAACGAAAATAAAACACAATGTTTTGAAAAAACTGAAAAGAAAAATATTTTTCAAAAACAAAAATATTTTGTTGAAAATAATTTTTTTCAGTTTTTAAAAAGCGAAATTATTTTATGAAATTTTTTTTTCTGCTTTTACAATTTTATTTTAAGTTTTTACAAAAAAAAATGCTTTAAATTAACTGGAAAAAAATATTTTTTTTGTTAAAACTGAATTTTTTTTGTAAAAACTGAAAAAAAAAATAAGAAGACTTTACTAAATTAGTGAATATTGGTGCATTAGTTTAAAAAAACAGAAATATTTTGCAAAATAATTTTTTTTAAGCTTTACAAAAAAAAAATTATTTTTAATTTAGCATTGACCTAACGGTCAAATGGCATAAGTGAACCAAAAAAGTGGATGGAGGGGTATTTTTAGCCCAATAAGTGAATGAAGGGTATTTTTAAACCTTTTTCAATAGTTTAGGCGCATTTTGAACCCTTTTCCAAATAATAAATTTACAACTTGTTCGGATGGTTGTTACGTATCGTTTCATAATGTATCGTATTGTATTGTATTTTATCGTTATAAATACAATACTTGGATAGATTGTGTCGTTCGCCATCGTTTCATGATATCACACACCAGCAAATATGAAGAATAAGCTTGCAATATTATAAAGAAAAATTATGATACAGGGTAAGATTATTATATAAAAAGGTAGGGTAAATGATAAAATAAAATTATTTAATAATAATGAAGGGTGAGATTGAGAGAAAAAGACAAGGTAACGACGCGACCACACCATATCGGTTGTTACATAAAGTGGCACATTTCGTCGTTACGTAACGATGGATTTAACGATACGATACAATAAAATTTAAGTAACAATCAAAACAAACATTGTATTTAACGTAACAATACGATACAATGGGTAACAACTATCCAAACAAGTTGTTATAGGTATTTAAAAATAATATTTAATACATTTAATACAAAAGTAGAGTTTTTAATATTAAAAAAAAAAGCTTTTAAAATATATAAATAAAGTAATAATTTGTCTTACTTAAAAATGGGTAAATGAATAATTTTCCAACGTTTCATTTTTTCACTTCTTACTCCTTAATTAGATAAACGTATAAAATTTTACTCTTCCTTTCTTAATTTGTCCAAGTCAATCTTTCTTTTCTCCAAACTCTTCATATTTTAGAAACCCCTATAGATTTTCTATCTTCCTCTTTAATATTCTTATTCACCTTCTTTGTTCAAGATTTCTTTACTCACCTTCTTTCTCCAAGATTTCAAGCGTTCAACAATACTTTTAAGCTTCCAATAATTTTATATTTCTAATTTTTTTTTTTATCTAAGATCAACAATATCTCAAAAAATATTAAATAAGTTGGCTATATTTTCAATTGAAAAGGAATTATTAGAGAAAATCGATTATAAAAAAGATTACTAACAACTTTGTATCTCAAAAAGCTAGAAGAATAAACTTCAAATAAAAATATATCTTATAACTTTTTTAAAAAAAATTTAGGCCTCATATTGAACTTTTGCTTTAGGCGCCGCTTATACTTGAGCCGGCCTTGTATGTGTCATCTTCTCATTTTATTTTACTAGTTTTAGTATACGTGCGTTGCACGTGAATTTTGGGTCTATCAATAAAAGTGCATAGAAATTAAAAAAAAAACAAATTTTTAATATAGACTTGAACTCATAATAAGTTATTTTTTTCACCTCATAATAAGGATTGAACATTTAGGAAAATTTATTAGTTTATGCATCAACATTTCAATATACTGTAATTAGTTCATATGAATTGTACAACATAACCCATTATTTTTCAAAGATTACCCAATATTTAAGTGCAGTTTATTTACAATTTTTTTGTAATACCAAACAAAAGTTTATTTTCATATTTACATATTAATATCAAATTTAGATTCAAAAGAAAAACCTGAACTAAAAATATGGATTGAGCATATTAGAAAATTTATTTCCTAACGGCACGGTATACACAAAATTTTTTATGAGTAGTTTATCAAAATTCAATAAATTGGATATAACTTTCTAAACACAATATTGTAAAATATTTTCGTGCGCAAGGTAATTATAATAATTAACAAATTTATATTAAAAGTGAGAGAAAAATCTTGCACCATACCTTAAAATTAATATTTCGTGAAATACTTATGATGATGAATGGGAAATAGTCCAAACGGGAATAATCATTTTTCATGAGATAATGAAAATTATTTGCCTAAACGGATGGAATTGTCAAAAATCTGGCTAGATGCAAGGACGTCAATCGCCAATCTCTATTCTTTAATTAACACAATTATTAATAAGATTTTTAATTGAGAGTTAGAAGGCCTAATCAATTTTCTATTACATAATACAATTACTCTAACAATCTATGTAAAATTTATAAATACCCCAACCTTTAAACTGACAATAGTATATGAGATATGATAAACAAAAACCACAATTGACAACTTTTTAATTCACAATTGCCTATCAAGAACATATGTATGTTATTATATAACTTCAAGAAAAAAATTAAAGGTTAGAAAATTTACCTCAAATCACAAGCAAGTTCACCTCCACAAATAATGACATTATTAAAAGTTTATGATAAGAATAATAAATGCTCGCTCTTAAATAGAAGTATTCAACTCCTAATTCTAAATTATTTTAGTTTTAAAGTACTACATTAATTTTCGAATCCTAAACCTATAAAATCTTAATTTTCTACTTTTTTTTTATCCAACGACATTGTTACATTAATTAGAATTCTAAACCAAAAATGATAATTTGAGTTAAAGGTGGTTGAAAGTTTTAACTAAAATATTTATAAATAATTAATTGATTAAAATTTAATAACAAACAAAAAACTCCTAAACCTAAAAGGAGCTCAAAGTGCTCCAAAGTTTCCTAACAGGTAAAGTAATGTGATTTACTCTAATAAGGAAAACCAACATGTTACTTTTTTCCTTTTACAAATCTGGTATATTACCAATTTCTAATAAGGAAAATTTTAAAAACTCAAATTTTAGTTAAATTTAAATATTAAAAGAATAAATAAATGACTATTTTATCTAGTGTGAACTCTATTTTTGAAGGATAAAAAAGGCGAACGACATTTCACTAAGGACCTTCGTGCTTTTAATCTATCCTATATTAAAAGCACGAAAGCCTTTAGCGAAATGTCATTCGCCTTTTTTACCCCTCAAAACTAAATTTAACACTGTAACGACCCATCCGGTCGTTTCATGAGTTACCGCTCCGTTTTCTCACATTTCTGCTTCTTTATGTGTTGTTCAGCTTCATTTCATCGTATCATGTCGGTAGGTTCGGGTTTGGAGTAGTTTTGAAGTGTTATGAGACACTTAGTCTCTTAAGTTGGC